AACGGTTGAAACTGTAAGACTGGCATGTTTAAAAACGAGCGCGAACAATAGCGAACATGAATTCACTACCTCGAAAAGACGTTTTTGGCTGCAACGTACTGATAAACTTGCAATTTTATAAAAAGTTATGAAATTTTGCTTATAAAAAGTAACGAAGGTTGTGTTTTACTTACAAATTACCCCAAACGTGCTCACCAGTCGCTCCGCTCGCGAAGGGCAGCCATGTAGAACAGAATTTTCTGGAACGTCTTTCAGGGATGGGGTTCAGAGAACACGTCATGACGTAGTTGACGTACGAATGCGTAGCGTGAGAAAAAAAACATTTACTCAAAAGTAATAATTATTGAAGCATAATTTCTCTCAACTTTTGAGCCATGTACAATTATAACTGTTTAAATTGTTAAGAAAACAGAAAAGTTTTAAGTTCTTTAAACTTCGTGAGAAATTTCAATTGCTATGTCCTCAAACTTTATAAGTAAGGTTGACTGTTGGGGTTAACAGTGTAACAAAGACAGTTGTTCTTGTATTGAGGAACTGAAGGAAGGAACACTTTCACTCCCTTTTGGAGTTCCTGCAGCTATTTAGAGCTCGTGCAGGAGAGAAGCACAGAGAGGCCTTTGATATTATAACATGATTCCATAATGAAAAAAGTAGCATATAACAATGAATAATAAAAGAGCTTATATGAGAGTTACATATATTTTCACTACTGTGAGTTTATTTTTCAAAGAATTTAACTTGGTGTAACCATAACTTTAAATATTTAAGTTAACCTTTATATTTGTCCAAAGAGACATGTTTATTGTCTTTGCCCTTGAAGAACAACTGAATAGCACTGTTTTAGAGTACAGTTTTGAACAAAACAGCCCATTTCAGCTGCTATACCCAGGTAGCAGTTTTTCTTTAGGATTGAGAGGAGATGCAGGACAGAAAAATAGTCAAATAAAAACAAGTTAGTTTTTGTACCTGGTGGTTGCAACAAACAGACACCATTGAAGGAAATCAGAAGTGAGGAACAGAAAATGAAATGATTATTTTAATGTTTAGAGCAGCAGGAACTGAGAGGCTGCAGGCGCGCATCAGTGAGTTTGCGGCCGCTGCGCAGGGGGAGGGGGGAGATGGCTGAAGCAGAAACTACCATTGTTAAAAGAAATGTGTTCAACTTTGAAAATGTGGGTGCAATTTAATTGTCAAAAACTCCAGCGAATCATTAGTTCATTTTGCTCAAATGGAAATTGAGGCCTGCCTCTAATTCTGGCCCTCCTTCCAATAAAGGCCTGGAGCTTGATGAGCTTGAGTAAAATACAGGCCCGGGCCTGTATTAGAGGATTTACGGTATGTTAAAATATCCACGCATTTATCTATGTCCCCCTCTGCAACAGGCAGTGTGTTGTGCATCTTTTCTTTTTACAAAGTGGAGAGGGCGGCTCTTTTGTCTTTCATCCTGCAATATAAATGATGAATCACAAAGACCAAATGAATAGTAACCACTGCTGTTCCACTTTTTGACCAATGAGAGCAATTGCTGTAGCACACCCTGCCAAAAAAAATCTGGCTAGGATAATGTGTGCGTGAAACCCTGCTGAACTGGGGGTGCGCAAAGTCATTTTGTTCTTGCAGTGGAGAATGAAACCACCTTTACGCAGTACCTGTGTGACTCGCCATAGACATTAACACAGACAAGAGGCTCTGTCTACAGTGTCCTTTTGCAAGACCAATTACTTTGTTAATAAACACATGTTTATTGACCACTACTGTGACCTAAATTATGGACTGAAGTCTTAACTATAGAAATTATTTTACATTACTTTGTATGTTCGTAGTTATTTTATCTTGCTTTTTCGTGTTAAAATGTGAACTGTACATTTCACACAACACAGAGCTGAAAAAATTCGTAAGGGCCATTTGCATTTGCCTGGACAAAATGGACCAAAAGCTGGCAGTGATCGAAAGTCTTTTAAGGAGTGGTGGCCAGCCAACAGGAGATATATCCCAGTTAGTCCTCAATCCTTGCACGTCTACACAGGAGCTTAATGATTTAAGCTCTAAAATGGAAGACGATGAATACAAAAAAAAAAAACAGTAAGTACTTTTACCAGCAGCTTACAATGGTGGAAGTATTTATTTGTGCCAAACCTAATCATTGCTTTTGTTTATTTCAGCTCCATTACCTTAATCTGCTTGGGGGCAAAACACCTGGAGACGCCGTCCGGAGAGTGTTAAGAGCAATCGCTCTTAACTGTGTGTTGGGTCAATACAGTTTAAAGGGAAGGAAGGGGAAACTCAGTTTCCAACAGCTGCGTATTTGCAGTGTGATCATTCGTAAGTATTATATTTTGTAAGACTCTCTGCATTTATACCTGTTATTAGGGATAGTTTTAAGTGATTTGACACAATACTGTAACACAATACACAATACCATTATTGTAACATCACTTGTAAGTCACTTTGGACAAAAGCGTCTGCTAAATACATAAACATAAACATTATTACTAGGGCTGAAAGAGTAAGAAAAATTATCATATTGCTTTTTTTTTTCAACATTGCAACTGCGATTTATTTAGCAATTTTCTCATGTGTTTAAGTACAGGTGTATTATTATAAACAAAATCAGAGTTATTACACATTACTTATTCTCATAGGCTAAAGTTAAGTTAAAGGCAAATGAAGCTTACTAAATCACGGTTGTAAACCTACTAAACATTGTGACTTGCAGTCTTGTAGGCAGTCACAATCACAATGTATCAAAGTTCTGCAAAATACAGATGAAAAGAAAACTAAAACAATTATGAGGCTTTACCACTTCAATAACTAACTTTTCATGCTGCTCAAACATTACATGACTCCCTGGTCTCGCGACCAGTCAAATTGCAGCCTTTGCAACAAAAAATCGAATTTCTCCATATTGCGATATTTTTGTATATGCAAGTAATTGTTCAGCCCTCATTATTACAAGTAAGTTTTTTTCTGTGGTCTTTAAATGCAACAACAAATAGATAAAATCAGTAACATTTGATTGGTAAATGTGTTGGCAACAAATTTTGTCATCAATTTGTTTTGTGGAACTAAAGTAACAGGCAATACTCTGCGCCATGCCCTGCAGCAAATAGGAGGCACAAGGCTCGGCAGATTAGAGCCAGAGAGCAAGCTGTTTTGATTGACAATGACACACTAGAATACAGCAAACCTAAGAAAACAAAAACTTCAATAGTTTGAGGTTAACAAAAGAAGGGAAGAATGGCTTTCCAGCCATAGTCCTCTAATCCGATTGTGTTGAGACCTCATCCGATTCATTGATTATCCAAACAATTGTTTGTTTCAGCCCTACTGTCAGTTATGATTATGCCATTTTTAGTGATCACAAAACAGCGGAATTACCTCATTAGAAATTCTCCTTTGGGTTGTGAGCGGAACCTTTGAAACTTTCAGAGCCTTTCCTCAGAGCCTGAATGGGCAGGAGTGGAGTTTAGGCTCCGCCCAGGTGGAATATGACATCACAAACACTAGCAGTTTCACGCCGGGGACACACTGGCGTTCTGATCTGAACTGAGGAGCGGCGAGCAGCGGCCGAATTTCGTGAGCGATTCGCTTCTCGGCGCTTCCGCGGCCGGTGTGTCCCCGGCGTCAGTCTACCTTTTTTTGGTCTGCTATAGATTCACAGAAATTAAAATACAAAAATATTCAGTCAGACTTTCCTACCTTGCCAATGTATTTTGCATAGCAAGTACGCAATTTGACATCTTATTACGCCGTTAGGGTTCACCCCTCTAAACTACACAAAAAAACTGCGGACATGTGAGTTCAGAAGCAAACCTTCACATGCGGTACTAAAACACGCTGCAGCAGCGTGGGGAAGTATTTTCAGCCAATCTCAACCGTAGAAGAGCGTGGAGAAACGAGTCGCCGACCCCCACCCCCCCGCTATCTGCCTGTCTCTCTCTGTGTCGCCCTCCTCCTCTGTTCTCAGCTCGCTAAAGTCGATAGGTAAACTGTGTGGGTGTCAACGGACCAGCCAGCTCTTGGTAAATATGAACCGTGTACCCACGTGTTTGTGCGTAGCCAAATACATCTTGCATAGAGTTGGACTGTAAGAAGATTATTTATATACAGTCAAAACAGGTAGCCAAGTCACTGGGGGCAAGACTGCCATGGTAGACAAAGACAGGAGGAGGTCGGTGTCCTTCTCCCTGCCATCTCGTGTTTCATGTTAGCAGCAATCTCCAGTTTCCCTGCATCTGAAAACCTTTTTGGTTCTTTCTCGAGCTCTACGCCTTCCAGCTGCACTGAGCTAACCATATGTCTGCCGCAGTGTAGCTTTTATAGATGAACCACAGAGGAAATTTCTTTAAATTTTAACTTTTTTAAAGTTCATGTTTTCCAAACATTTTACTGAACTCACACTTAAAGGAGCATGGGGCAGGAATTGTCCAAAAACAAGAAGTAAATAGGATTCATGTTCATTCTTGTGAAGCTTATGGGTGATGAAGCATTTTAAACTAAAAAGAATGATGAAACCAGTTTATCATTCCATTTTGTTAATCAGGCTGTGTGCTGCAAAATGCAAAACATTCCTGATCCGAATTTCCCGCGCTGTTTTACGGATGTGACGTTAATTGATGCTTCAAGCGCGTTCTCGACAAGGTTCAAACCCGGAAAAACATTTGGAAGCTTGCTAGGTGGCGGTAATGCGTCTTTCACTACTAGCCACGTTAAAACCTCTTGAAACAGAAGAGGAAGAACCCTGGAAATGGATTCTACAACTAGCAAACGACCAAGCGCAACTCAAAGCCCACTAAAGTGGCACAAAGAAGAAGGTTTTATCAGCGGCATCTCGAGAGTCAAAAAGAAAATATAAAAGTCGGTCAGGGACCCGAATATGTATTGGGTACGCTCTGGAAGAATGAGGCTGGTTCAACTCAATTTGGGCCTGAAAAGGATGCGGACATGGTGCATTTTCTAGTGACCAGGTAAGTGTTCTGGTCTCCTTGTCTGCTGTAGGTTTCAGTAACGAGTAGGTAAACATATCAGAGCTGTATCTCCACAATTTAAGAAAATAAAATAAAACCTATGGATTTAGATAATACTGATTTAGGTAATCTAACAAATCTTTGTGCAGATGAACAAGAAACTTATCTAAGCTAACGGTGTTTAGCATATGGCTTCCTGATCAGTTTGAAAAAGCTAAAAGCAACCAAGAAGCAATCGATCACTTCTACGTTTTGTGGACGACACACCGCTTGTGTTTGGAGAAAAATGGATGCTCCGTTTATTCTGACGAGAAACGTAAACAGAGCTTGATTTGATTATATGACGTCACCGAGTCGGAGAGAGCTAGCGTGCGTTAGCATGTTAGCTGTGATCACGCTTCAGTTTGTATGTACCACAGAAGAGAACGGACATTTTCCAAAGATGAGTGTTTAGAATTATGTCATATTTGATCTACAGTCCAACCTCTAAGCAGGACTGTTATTTTAGTAGATAATGTTATCCGTGGGGTTTGTGTAACAGAACCCCATTGTAATGTCTTTTCCTAACGTTAGTGCTGTGCTACAAAAGAATAAATAACGAGTCAGCCATTGCTACATGTTTTACTAAAAGTAAAGTTGTGCAGAAGTTTGTGTTTATTTTTCTAAATTTGTCCTGTTGAATGTAGGTCAGAATAAAATATGTTTGTGAAAATGATAATTTTTTTTATGACTGACATGCATTTTCATATTACTAGTTGTGCTTAGCCATTATTGATCTATGTAAACAGAAGGTGTAGAGTCTCAACCAACTTGTTGACATTTTTGTTTAAAAATGTGTTTTCCAGCTACCGGAAGAAGCAGGCTCCTGAAACTGCAATTCAGGGAGGTAATGTGCAGTCAACCTCGACACCCAGTAAGAGAACAGCAGCTAAAATGTTGCATCGATTATCTCCAACTGAACCTGTGTCTGAGGGGTTAGTATCTTTTCTGTAAAACAAATATTCACGTTTTTGTGCTATGATATTTCATACATTAAATTACACCTTGCATATCCACACTTGGTTCAGAACTAACATCACACCACCAAACACTTCTGACATTATCTTTACAGGGAAGATTTTCTAACGGCTGGTGTTGAGGCCTTAGCTGATGACCTAGATTTGGATCCTTTTGAAGAAAGGTAAATTTGTTCATGAGAAGTCTTGCCATATACGCAGGAAATTACTGCTGTACTATGTGCAAAAAAGATAAAAACACAATAGATAAGCAAATATAGGTCATTATATATATTTATTTATGTTGTGAAGTGTCAATTCTCGGCAGATTGTTGTTATTTGCAGAAAGAATTAATGACAGATGTATTAGGCTCCACATTTATCTCTTTAGAATCAGTACCATTTCAGGTAAGTTCCAGTATTTATCTTTACGTACAACAAATATTATTGTGTTGTCTGTAGTTTCAAATCCATGGATCTAGCTACAGATGCAGTCCAAATTGATGAGGACCAAGCAAACGACTTACTCAACAGTGTTTGAGTTGCAATGTCTACTTATCTACACTCTTTTTTTAAACTCCAAAGTCTTAAAACAATATATTAATTCTACTTTTATTTATTGTTTTCATAACAGAATAGAACTGTTATGAAAACTTTGTCAGGCTGACGAAGTTTGCAGCCGCAAACAAAACGTTGCAGGTAAACAAAACACTTCTATGTTTTAAAAATAACTAAAAGATGGAATTGTTGTTTTATCCTTGTTCACAGGCTGGGATCCTAAAGGGAATTTCCATCCTACTTGTGTGGCTGAAGGACATCTTCAACCAATTTTGGTACATTTGCCAGAAAGCACAACATCGTGATATGTTTATTGTAAGTATTGTGACATCTTTTGGACAACAAGACAACAATGCACATTGACATAATTACCTTTCTTTTCATAATAGTGCCAGCTCTCATGTTTCTGTTGGTGAGCGCTTCTGTCACATGTAAAGTTTTCAAATAAAACTTATTTTTTCTGTTAGGACATGTGGGTGGGTGTGCTTCACCATGTCACAGGGAAGCATGAATGGACCCATGGCAAATGTGACCATGGACCACTTGATGCAACGACCAGTGATAAAGAGCTCATGGTACCATGATCTCCACCACACGAGGCTCTTCAACGAATCATGTTCAACAGACGCTGGTTGAAGGATGTCACCAATCTGACCTTTCGGTATATTAATAACATTTTCATAAGCAAAAAAGCTAAAGTGTCAATATCAAAGCTGACAATTTACATATAGAAATGACAATTGTGGGTGAAAAGGCAATCAAAAGTGTGATTCCTAATAATCTATAAAGTTTTTGTTTTTTTACAGGTCAACTTCAGAACTGGAGAGTTTCCAGAACTGCATTCTCATGTAATCTATGTAAGATCTAATGCTGCTGTTCTCCTCTCCATAAAGGCCCCAGCTACGTGAGGCATCAAAAGACAGGAATGACTTCTTTCATGCACACAGATTTATTAGAAATTAAGAAAAAATACTATGTACAAATGCAAATAACAGAACTTTTTGTTCATAAATAAAAATAAATATATTGCACAAACTGTTTGTTTATTTTTGGGTGAAAATGCTGTCTTCAGCTAAAGTTATTTTGAGGTATTGTGCTGTTTTGGAACTACTGTAGTTGTAGATAAACGGTTTGGATTTTTGGGTTAGGGTGCCCTCAGTCAGGAAGATGGTGTCCTGGCGTCTCTTGCCGAAACTCCAGGATATCCAGCATCACCCCTGGAAGACGGGTCACCACTCTCTCGAGAATATAATCTCTCTCCTGGCTCAGGTGTTGTAAAGCTGTCTAGAAATTAAAGAGCATATGTTTACATGACTAGATTCATATCTCCAGTGAGTGATGTTTTCGTTTTTGGCATCTCTATTATTTTATTTTATTTTTTTACACAAATGGCTACAACCAACCTGCATCTCAGCTATACTGGCAGCTCTCAGCTGTGCAAGCCGTTCTCGATCCTCTTCTCTGAAAGCTGTTCGCTGCCTACCCCGGCGCCCTGGTCCTCTTGAAGGAGCTCTGGACCTCAACCTGCTGCCCTCACCCCTTGAGCGTGTCCTTCCCCGACCCTCGGAGCGACCTTTTCCTCTCCCCTTTCCAGTACTGCCCTTTCCTTCCAATGTGAATTCCTGAAAATCAATGACAGTAATGATAAAAATGACTTACCCTGTAGGTCTTGTTGATATTATGATTTTATTTTGATGCATTTTTTGAACTAAACATTGATATTTATGTTCTTATTTACATTGTTGTGATGCCTGTCCTGTAATGAAATTGGTTTCACAAATGATGTCAGTGACTTGAAATTGGATGTTCTTACATGATGTATAAACAATAACATTAGCTTATTAGTAAGCTTAGTGCAAAATAATAACTGTAATTTGTCTAAAAACATCAGAAATCACCTGCAGCCACAAAGCCTTATGCTGATAAAGTAGCATAATGTTACTGTCTTGCTCGCCAGTCACAAAACTGGCTTATGAATATTTCATAGGAAGGAGCACTTGCTTTACATCACGGATGTCATGGCTAAATTAAAATGCTAATGTTGTCATGGAATTTTACAAATATTAGACTAAAGTAACAATGTTACTTACTTCATCGCTCGACACGGTGCCTTGTTCGAGCCGCGCTCTGGCCGTACATCACTGTTACTTTTTTTTTTCTAGTGAAGAGTTTGTGCGCGCTCTCGTGCCGGGCTGCAGTTACTCACAGCGCCGAGTGCGTCGCTAATGAGTTTCGTTTCTTCATCCTGCCCCATGCTCCTTTAACCATTATGTACACTTCATTGCAGAAGCTTGCCAAAAAATGTACCCAAAGGTGCCCGTCAAGGTCTTAGAGGACTACATCGCAGACACCTTGAAGTACGCTCCTCATCGGTAATCAAGGGTGAGTAATAATCCTGCATATTTTCCTTGTTATTTCAGGTGAAATCCTTTACAATGTGTAGTTGAAATATCCTAATAGTTTACTCACCGCTATGCCATCCAAGACATCTATCGCTTTCTTTCCTCGGTAGAAAATAGGTTTTGAGAGAAAAATTACTTTATTTTTCTTTAAAAACAATGTACTTAAATGTTATCAATTGTTTGAAAGTCCACATCAATGCAGTTGAAGTTGTCAGGTTACGATACAAACGAACAACTCAAGTGAGGGTTCAAGCTTTTATTACAAGAGTGTAAAATACTGCAAATATTGTGTGCCCGACCAATATGCTTTTTTTGGGACCGATACCGATATAAAACTTTTAACAAAGGCCGATAGCCGATATAATGGCCGATATATCTCCCTCACAAAAAAAGAAATAAATATAAATGTTCTTAAGATTAAACCCTTTATTCTCTGCCTTTTTGATGCTAACTTATTTCTATATTAAACAACAAAGAACTGTCTCAATAACTCACTAGGGTTTCCAAGTAATGCAAATAAGATTTATTTTGCAATCTCAAAAACAACAGAACACACAAACTACTACTGAAGATGAGCAGATGCTGCAGATGACATCACCGGATGGATCTTTAGTGAAGTAGGCCCACACCTTACTACGACCCTCTTTTTCCATCTGTAATAAAATAATCAGCATAAAAGTACAGTTATATATCTGTTTATACCAAGACAAAGTAAAATACATGTGGCATTTTTATACTTAAAAGTTTAAAAATTATCATGTAAATAAATGATATCAGACATTGTGGCTCAAAACCAATGGCTCTGTTTTTGTTTGGTTCCCCAGCTGTTAAGGTTCTCATTTATTATTCAAGTTTTTTTTTTCCTTCCACTGAATTTTCTACTCTGTTGTCAGGTTTTTTTTCTAGTTATTCTTATTTCCCTTTTAGGATTCTTTCTTCTATAAAATTATTTTCATTTATAGTTCCTCCCATGTTCCCCTGCTGTCCTCTGCTCCCACTCACAGCTCCTCCTCATAACTAGTCCACTGTCATCTCTCACTCCTGTGCTTACGGTTCAGTTTCAGTCAAACTCTGCTGGTTTCAGCATCCTAGCTACCTGTTTTTATTTCTGTCACCTGATTTTTGGCATTAAAATACTTTTTGAATTTTACACTTGTGTGTTTTGATCCTTTCCAAAGCCGACAGTATTAGGAAAATAAAAATAAGATACGTTAAATGACTAGTATGTGGCGATGTATAAGCCTTATGTAAAATGTAAGGCTGAAAAATACAATAGATTTATTCTATTGTAGAGAGGAATGTTTATTTTCTCGTATTACCGCCTCCCCTCCTCTCCCAGCTAGGGAGAGGAGGGGGGACTCCCTGCACAGCGTTTCATTGCTTTGTTGCCAACCCCCCCTCGCCCATCCTCAGCTGCGACAACGGTCGTGTGCCACCGAAGCGCCGCGAAACGGGGACCGCCTTCATTCGTCGCCCTTATCCTATTCTATAGGCCACATGGGCCGCCGAAGCGCTGCACGCCGGCGCTCCAGCCCGCGCCGTGCAGCGATAGTTTCGGCACTATTTTTTTCGTGAGCCGCGGGTGAAACGTGTGAGTTTGAAAAGACTGCTGAAGAAGAGCGGAGGAAATTGTCTGAGAATATTCCAGAATGTCTACCAGAAAAAGGCCAATGTTACTTACTTACTGCCCTGCATGACTTACCCCCAAATTCCACTACCTCCGCTCCGCTCCGGTCCGCCCCTCCTTCCGCAGCCGCTCGCTTCCGAGCTCAATTTTTACTGGTACCCGCTCTACAACGGCTCCGCTCCGGTGCGGAGACCAGAGGTGGGCAAACAAGCATGTGCGGGACTTTCGGGATCTTGCGATACAGTCTGAGCAATAAACGCGGAAGTTAGATCCAAACACCCGTTGTGTGGGAGAAGCATCAACATGAACTGTTAAATCTGCCCATCATTTGTGTTGAGAGATCAGCAGTGTTTGGATCAACAAAGTGTGACTACTTTGATAGTAGAAACTGTATTTATGGCTTACTTTTGTGCATTTAAACTTCAGCCGCCATTGATAGTTGTTAAAAGTTGTTAAACCTGTGCATATGAAACAAAAAACACCTTTTGGTTATCGATTTATTGTGAAAAACGGAAGTTGTGCTTGCTCCTTTTCCTGTTGGGCGGTTGTGATTTCTGTCCATTTACTGCGGAGGTGCTCCGGCGTCCGGCAAAAATAGGATTGATTCTATTTTTGCCGGACGCCGGAACAGAGGGCGGCGCACTGCCGGAGCACGGCCGCAGTAGTGGAATTGCTCTGATTGACTACAACGGGACCGATTTTGCTCCGGCGTTCGTGTCGGAGCGGAGGTAGTGGAATTTGGGGGTAAAGGGGAAGCAGCGTGAGCTCTGCATAGAGCGTAATGCTGCAGCAGTTTTATTTTATTTTTTCAGGTTAACTTTTCAATACGAGGCACACAATAAACTTAGGAATCATGTTGAGGGGAAATATACTTTTGTCATTGCTTATTTTACCGTTCAACTTACCACTGACACAACAAATATGCTTAAAACTGAAGACTTACCTCCTACTTCCTCATCACCGTTGTCTCTGCTTGACTCTGCTGCTCCGCTGCATGTGTGCTGTGACGGTGGCTCCACCCCCCCCCGAGGAGTGGAGCCTCGGAGCCTCACAACATGAGTTCATAAAGCTGGCGCCATCTGCTGGATAGGTAGCGCAATATCAGCCGTCTTTTTGGCCTATAGCCGTTAGAGTTAATGACCCCTATATCGGTCGATAAAATCGGCCGGCCGATATATATCGGTCGGGCCCTAGTGCAGAGTCTTTCTAGTCCCAGGTTCCAGCTATTTCTGCAACAGCATGTACAGTATGTGAGCATCGTAAGAATATCAGACCTCTGTGAAGCTGGCCCCAGCTAAAAATGATCCCACTTGAAAAGTTAAATCATGGACACTGGGAAGTTAGTGCTCTGTTTGTCCCAGTTTGCGTTGGTAAAATTATGCTATGATTTTAGATATATTACACTTTATTTTACAGACCACACCTCAGCTTTATCACAGCTTAATTTCAGCTGATTTGGGCTTTTATAATTAATGTTTGCAACTATGGATTCAGTTAATTTAAGCTATATTTTTTGCGTGATGACATCACCATCGCCCCAAAAAAGACATGTCTGGCGTGCACAATCTCTAACAACATTTGACCAGCTCAAACACAGCGTAACATCACACAAAAATAAAACTTTATATAACCGCACAAATAAACACAAACAAAGCACTAACAAAGCCTGTCAGGGGTGCTATTTCCTGGTGAACTCTGGTGACCAACAAAATAATGTATAATGTCTTAGAAACCATAGGAGTA